CTATAAAGATTTTCTTTATTTTTATGATTTATGTTTCTCAAAATGCATTCATATTTTTCTTTTATATTGTTATTTCATATAATGTATAAATTTTAAAAAGTAATGAAATATTTAACGAAAACAGAGCATTGAACCGAATTGTATCACTAGAAAAAAGTCAATAATTCTAACGAACAACGGAAGGAAGATACGGAGAATAGTTTTCTTTGAAGAAACAATTTAGACTGAAATGTAATTATATATGAGATGAGAGAGAGAGTAGACTAAGTTGTAACGATTAATTATTAATTTTTCATAGATCGTGGAAACTCGTACAAATTTTACTTTCGCCAAGTAATTCATATGTATTGTTGAAACGGCCTTATTGAAGGCTGCTGACAAAGTTGGATTAATATCACTACATTTTATATCACCAGCAATTACTTGCGAATTATTCATCGGTTTAATGCCCTGCAACACAATTGTGAAAGAGAAGAGATTTCATGGGGTATAGACGGAAACACTGTTACTGTAAATAAGAAAACTTATTATGTGATATAATTAGTATTATAGTAATGTACATCACGACATGCCGATATTCAAGTTGGAAATAACTTGAGGGAACCAAGTACACGGTGTGCGCGCACATCGTAAAATGATTTTGTGTATATTACCTTGCAATGGATTATATTTATACACGTCTATCAGGCGGATATTTAATTTTAGTGAACTCACGTTGAGAAAAATGAGCGTTCTTGGCGGTTATAAAAAAATAAAAACAGGAGAGAAAACGAGATCAAGCCTCTGAGTATTAACGTTGAATTGTTATATCCCGTATCGAGACTATAGAGCACATCTTCCCGGATTGTTAGCGTGAAGCGTAACTCGACAAATTCCGATCGAGATTGCGGAAACCAGTGCACTCGTATTGAGATTACGATGCGGTTGGTACAAGAATTTTGTACGGAATCATCGTGCGATATAGGGAGGAAGAATTATAGATATACATGCTGGATTTTTATCTCTGAAAACACGGCACTGGGCGGGGACCTAATAATTTATATTTCGAGGAAACGCACCACGTTGTTAAGTACCTTGTATATACGATATAAGATAAACGAGAGAGAAAGAGAGAGAGAGAGAGAGATGTAGCGTAATCCTTATCCTTTAATCAAGTAGTAATTTATTCTCTAGCATTCGCGATGGCTCCATTGCCGTTTCATTGAACACGATCATAGGAAAAAGGCATTTTACATTTTGATTCTCCTGACGAATATATCTATTGTTTCGCTTTTATCGCAGAGATTATGTAACATGATAATCTCAAGAAGGTAAAAAAAAAGACGAGAAAATTGATTCGCTATGTTATGAGAAATGAATGGGAAATAAATGGGCTGATGAAAATATGTAAAACGTTGAAGGCTTTGGCAACTTGCTGTCGCATAATGATGCCGAATGACAATATCATCGTTATTTCGTTTCTGCGTGAATTTAAAATCATCTTAGATCTATGTTACAGTATATGACTTCCCCTTTTTACTTGAAATACGTTGAAATTACCGGAATGCTGGGAACCGTTGATTTTTAACGGAACTTGGCTATTCACGAGATCTGCTGTTTCAGTTGCGAGAGGCGAGGAATGTAATTGTATTGTGCGTACACTTGGCGTATGCCCGACATATCCCGGATAAATCGAACGAACGAGAACGAAAGGTTTCTTTGTTTTTGACGACACAATTTGCGAAATCACGAACGAAACGTTGTGTCGATCGACGAGTCCACAACAGGTTCTTTGTATTCTACTACGAGATGTCTGATGGAGAAGTCGGCGGTGCTCGTGTATTCGCAGAGTAGTATAATTGTCGAGAGAATAGCTTTATTTAAATATAATGTATATACTTATATATGCATTTATAGAATCTACAAAATGTTCAAGCCATGTATAAAAAGCATGAATAAATTTTTTTTTATAGATACTTTCTTATCCTTGATCATCGTTTTCTTATTTTTTATTTTAATCAAAACTTGTTTTCTTATCATATATATATATATCACAAATGTATATATAAAAGCTTATAACTGAACAATTTAGAGAATTAATAGGATTCATTAATTTGTTATATTTCAAATTATTATGATTTTATTTTGTAATCATTAATTTCATCTAGAAATGTGAATTATTGCGAATATAATGAAGATTCAGTAATTTTAGCAACATGCGATAATTTTAATTGAATGAACGAATAAAATTAATGAAATAAAGAACAAATATCACAAATATTAAGCATGGAATCAACATTTTACGGAAAATACAATTATCATTCTGATGTATTTCAAAATTATTTGGTCAAATTTTATATAATTTCACATATACAAGTAAATCGTTTTTCCTTATGAACTTTCAATACGTTATTAGCCTCGATACGGACTAAAAGATTGATTAATCAGATTAAATACTAATAAGAGAGCAATTAATTAATCAAATGAAATGATAATTAGTTATTGTCTCATATATTCCTTTCATTGGGCTTGAAAATTTATTTGATTGATTAGGTTTTTTCACCTTGCATTGGTATATCCCCATGTGCTACATGCACGTGCTTATTTGAGGAGCCGGAATAAGCCAAACATGTGACGCGTTGTATGTGGCGCCACATGCAGATGTCGAGAGTTTGGTTATGTTCTTCCTCGAATTTTGCATGAGTCTAAATTGTTTTTTTTTTTAATTTTATCCACGAATTGATCAGTAAAAATGAGCTGGAAAATCCCAAAATCGCTTGTTTACGCTTCCGTGACGGCGACTACCATCGGCGTGGCGTATCTGACGAAGTATAGTATTGTTCGAAAGTTATCCCAAGATTTTACACTATAAATCAATCATTTATTTCCTTTACGTTCACTTTTTATTTTAATATTGTCAGTATCTATAAATATTTGTTTATATTGTAAAAATATAAATAAGATCATTCATATAGCTATAATTTTTAATATACTCACAAAATCTTATCATTCATATATATAATGTTGATGTTAAGACAGTTTTTTTGACCTTTTCGTTACTTTGTAATATAAATAGTAAATGTGATCATGTCAAATTTGTAGGGATTATATGGGAGGTCCGAAATATGAAGGAAAAGAGAATTTAGTTGATAAAGTAGTCATTGTGACAGGAGCCAATTCCGGTATTGGAAGGGAAACAGTCCTAGAGTTAGCCAAACGCAATGCAAAAATTATTATGGCATGCAGGGACATCGAAAAATGTGAAACGGTAATTATATCATAGTTAGTATTTACTTAATTTATAAATGAATTATGAAATTGAATGGACAACATTATATATTGTAATATATTATATATAAAAACCGATTATTTACTTCTTTTATATGCTATCATTTAAAATAACTTTTTCTTGTGTTTTATTCAGAGCAGTATTTATAATCCGTTCTTATTTCAAGACGTTTTGTACTTAAGATAGTCTTAAGTATAAGCTCTGACTATATACCATCCTATATTTTTTTATTATAGGAACGCCGAAATATTGTACTCGAAACGAAGAACAAATACGTTTATTGTAGAAAGTGTGACTTAGCATCGCAAGAAAGTATTAGGAAATTTGTTACACAATTTAAAAAAGGTTTTGAAAAAAGATTGATATTTAAAAGTATACAGTTAGAAATTTTTTGTTTTTATTAAAAAATGTTTATCTTATTTTGTTTACAGAATATAATAAACTTCACATACTTATTAATAATGCCGGCGTGATGAGATGTCCAAAGAGTCACACTAAAGAAGGCATCGAGATGCAGCTTGGAGTCAATCACATAGGACACTTCTTACTTACAAACTTGCTTCTGGACGTCTTGAAAGCATCCGCGCCATCCAGAATTGTAAATCTAACCAGCGCTGCTCATCGAACAGGCCGAATAAATATGCAAGATTTTAATTGGGACAATCATTATGACGCTGGTAAAGCGTACAGTCAAAGTAAATTAGCTATAATACTTTTCACTCGGGAATTGGCGAAGAGATTGGAAGGTAATTTAATATAATTGTATAAAATTCTCGTTATAATTTTCACAGTGATTACCGATGCGCACTTATTTTTCAGGAACGAATGTTACCGTGAACGCTGTCCATCCCGGTATAGTTGATACAAACATAACGCGGCATATGTTTGTATACAATAATTTCTTTACGCGAATATTCCTGAAGCCATTTGCTTGGCCATTTGTTAAAGGACCTAGGCATGGAGCTCAATCTGTTTTGTACGCAGCATTAGATCCTAATTTTACAAATGTTTCCGGATGTTATTTAGAGTAAGCATCATCGGAAAATTTAAAAAAATGTTAAATATTACAAATATAATATGTAATATAATGTAATCGTTATATTTACAGCAATTGCGAATCTAAGGAAGTATCAGAGGAAGCAAAGAATGATAATCTGGCAAAATGGTTATGGAAAGTCAGTGAAAAGTGGACAAAATTAAATGTTATATAAATATATACTAGAAATATACAGTTACTGGTTGTAACTTTTTTAAAATATATAAATATTTAAAAAATATATATATTATATTAGTCTTTTTTAATTACATGTTTCTAAAATTTCTTCCATTTAGAAAATATTCGTTTAATATGTACATTAACGATATAAAATAAAATAACACGTTTTATAGAAATTTGTTTACGCAATTTGAGATTCGTACAAGAAATTTTTACTTGTGTACTTATTGAAATTCAGAGAATGGAAAGTTACTTTTTAAATGCAACTTTTGGTAATAATAACTAAATTAAACACCATTATTTAAAAAATAACAATTCATTACTTTTTTGTTACTTTTTTTTAATAGAATCCAATATTCCCAACTCACAATTTATGAATGGAGCACGGATTAATTCGTACAACATTCATTTCTCAATGCTCTCTTGCTACGATTTTATTAACAGTGTTAGAAAAAGGATGTAACATTGTAGCCACGTAGTACCTAAATCGAAAATGGATATACTGATGGCGCTAATGTACGGACGATTTCGACGGTGTCATGAAAAACATCGGCACAAAAAAAAACTGGTGGAATCTGTGAAATCATGGCACGGCGTTTTCTTTTGGCTACACTAATGCGTGTTTCTATGGTTGAAACATGCGTGTTTCCATGGCTGATGTGATAGACGAACTTGGGTGAACTTATTCGGCGTACCGTGTTTCTGACGTTTCCGTGACTACGGCGTAGTGTACGAAGTGGGATTTGCTACACTGTTTTCAAGGGATAGTGTAAAACCAATTACTAGTGTGACATTTAAAATTGGAAAATAAAAGTTAACCGAGAATAGGATTTAGCGCAATGATGAAGTATACATTATGGTATTGCAGTATAGTGTAGCGCTTACACGCAACTGGTGCAAGGTTACATCCAGTGCATCCCAAAGGAATACACTGTCAAGTTTCCTGCTTGTGGTTAGTCTAAAATAAATGAATTTAAGAAGTGTTTGTTGAAACAAGTAAGTTGAACAATTTGCATGTTAAATTTACACCTTAATTGACCTTAATATTAATGTCTCTAATAATTGATTAATAGTATCATGTTACAGAATTGATCATTGATGTATCATCATGATGTCGCATTTATGGAAATCAGCAGACAAAAGCATTCAAAAGAGCGTGCTAAAGTCGGGTGTTTTCATCAAGAAGCCAACGGAATGCTCCACGTGCACTATTATTGTAGAGAACATAAACATTACTGGAATGTCTGAAACGGATTTGAAAGAGAAATATCATACTAATGTTCTTGATGGAGAATCTGAAAAGATGGTGGTTATAGGAGAAGCTAGCTCAGAAATTGATGAAAAAGTCGAGAGAGTGATTTGTATGATGAATATCAATGAGAGGAGTCTTGTTACTATTGCTATGCCTTTGAAACAATCAGATGAATCTGTAGATAATAATGAATCTGCAATAGTTAAGTTTGAGATCACATTGGTTCTTTGTAAACGTCATAAACCAGTTTGGGAATGGAGTGCAGAAGAAAAGTATCAAGTAGCTTTGAGATATAAAGAGAGAGGTACTGAGTTATTCAAGGAGTCCCGAATCATAGATGCATTCCGCAGGTTCAGCAAAGCTTGCAAGCTTCTCATAACATTGGAGCCAATAGCTGACTTAGAATTAGATAAACAGTTGGAATACAATATTAATAATTTAAGACTTGCATTGTATAATAACATGGCTATATGTCAACTGAAGCGAAAGAACTATCAACATGTCATTATGCTGTGCACAAAGGTGTTGAACAAAGATGAGAATAATGTTAAGGCCTTGTATAGAAGAGGAGTAGCATATGGTAATATGGGAGACAATGAAAAAGCTACAATAGATTTGAAGATAGTACTTACTTTAGAATCTACTAATCACTCGGCAAAAGAACAATTTGATGTGTTCAACATTAGATTGCAAGAATCACTTCAGAGAAATAAAGATATGATGAGGAGAATGTTTAAGATTTACTAGAATATTTTTTTAATGTTTTGTAATTGTACATACGAATTTATTTCTCTAAGAAATAAAATATATTTATTTTATAAACAGGAAAATGAGATTTTGATTTCTTTTCGTGACTTATGTTCGATTATTTTAATATTACTATCACCATCGTCATCACATAATAATAATAATTATTATATAATGTTTGTGCCTCTTAAACAGATTAATTATATTAAATTAAAAAGTTGTACTGCGCATAGTTACAGATGTAGATATATATATATTTAATTTGTTACAATCATTATCTTTTTTTATTACAATATTTATTAGTATAAAATAGATAATTGAAAGATAGAATTATATACGTGCAGTAAATATACATAATGCATTTCTACACACATTTTTATAATACAAAATTTTCGATCGACGTAACTTTGTCAATAGCCACGGCTACAAATTATTATAGTGTCATGTTTATATATTTTTAATTACATTATAACTGTGTAAAATATAAGATATTACAAGTTCTTTTTTCATACAAATATCCATATCTGCAAATGATTTGGACAATCTATTTGATTAACCTTCATATATTTGTTAGTTCCTAATAATTTTATAAAATTACATAATGCAACTTCACTTTGATGTGAAAAAATTGTGATTTAATAATAATTGTTGTTACATATTAATCTCAAGTTTGAAATATGATATCATGATAAAGAATAATGGTCTAAATATTAAGTGCAACTGTTGGATTTGATCACAAACTTGAGTTGATATGTAATCATGTATACGAAACACATTTATTTATATATAATCTATTAAAAATGAAATTTAAGAAATTCTATAAAATTAATAAATAAAATTTAGCACGGGACATAAGATCTCTTGTAAATTCAAAATTAAATTTTAATGGCACTTCCATAACCATGCGTTTCCGCTAAATTACTTTCTATTATCCTACATACACCCATTCTGTATAAAATACAATAAGATGACGAATATGGCTCCATGTTAATACAAAACTGTTTATTTACTTGTATCATTATATCTCAACTAGTAAAACAAATATATTAATCAGTGTAATATTTTTAAAGCTGCCTCTAATATTTATTAATAGAAATCGAAGACATCATTGTAAAGAATAATAATGTACTTTAAATTTTGAATCTAACGTGTGATAAAGTAGCAATTATATTTTGGTGTGCAAATGTGAGCTTATTTTTTTACATATGTCTTTATGAAGTAAATATTGCAAAATATAAACCACAAAAATAAATTATAGTGTTATTAAAACCACCACCAAGTACATTTATAATTTTTACTATATTAGAAAAAGTATAAAGTATTTTTTTTTTAAATAACGTATATATTTATTAATAAATTGTAATAATTATCTTTACAAAATTTTACAAGTCCAGTTTTATAATTAATTAATAAATTTCGTGTTTAAAAATTAGAATTCCATGCACGTATATAAATAAAAATAAATTTATTATACCCTATCAACTACATTATAGATCGAAATATATTAGCAATTCGCTTGGCAAGACTTGGTAGAGTTTTAATACACGCATACGTCAAATTGTATTATCAAAATTACTCATTGAACAAAATTCATTGGAAATAAAAAAGCTAGTGTTTTTTATATTTGCTAATCGTTTTTAGATAACACACATTATAAACCTGATAAATTTAATAATAATATTAATCAGTTTTATTGATAAATTAAAATAATGATATTAATCAGTTTTATTCAATGAGCAATATAGAAAATGGAGTCCAGCATATCTACACAAATTTGGTTACTATTAACAGCGTGTTGGTAATAAGACTTATATTACTCTTAAGTAGATTAATGTAATCGGGCAACTTCGAGATATTGCATTTAATAAAGTCATATACTACAGCAATATGGCGTATGAATATCTATATCGCAGTTAAATAAATTCTAAGTATTTTTATCACTTTTTTTTCGAACTATGTAGAATGTGTGAATAATATCGCGTGCAATATATACATCCTTTTATTAAACAATAGTCCAGTACAACTGATGTTACGCATTTCTGGCACGAATGAAATCTGAACTTCGTTAGTCCAAGCATATAAATAACACATAAAATAACAAAAACATAATGCAAAACATAATGCAATCCTTATTAAAATAAAAATTAACTGCAAAATGCACTTTAAATGTAATGGATTACTTCAACAGGAAAATTTTATATACTTAATGGAAACGAACGAAAAATTGTTACATAGGGACTTATTTTTTCCTATTTCTTAATATTTTTACAAATGCACTTTTCTACTTTTTGATAATTTGCAATAACTTTAAATATATTAACATCTCCATATTAAAACTTTCAGATCAAGCTACAATAATAGTATTTTTCACCAGTACAAGATTTTATTTTTACAACATCCATATCAAGGATATACTAGGCAATACTAGTAATCACACGATTTCCATCAATCTAATCGCTGTTTTATAATTAGAATACATTGTATATACATTCACAGTCATTTTCAAATTAATGCTTCCAAGCCATAATGTTTAATCCAGTTTTAAACAGAGAAAAAACTATTCATGGCGGTATGTCAAAACATCACGATATTGTAAAATTTGATTATGCCACTTAACATATAAGGATGCGATATTTCGATTCGTTTAAACGATTAGGATATTACGGGAATGAATGTTACAATAATTTAGGCTTGCCATTGGCAGTGACAGTGGCGTTCATTGTTGAATTCGTTACCGCTATTTCAGCAGCCTGTGCCACTGCTACAGACACGGACTTCTCCACAAATTGTTGGTAGAGTGGCTTCATGAACTGAACAAAAGTAAAAATCATTCTTTCCATCAAAACTGCACTATTTTATGACAATTATAATATGTGACACTGCATAATTGTGTTACTTCCAAAAATTTCGATATTTTTTTGTTGTTTTTTAGTTACGAGCAGCGTTTATTTTATGAAATTTAACGTATCAACATCGAAGAAGTATTAATAATTATAAGGAAGAAATAGATTTTTTGATTAAGCAGTTATGGATGTAATATTTGGAAATAGAAAGCTATGTAATCAGTGATTAATAGAGTTCAAAATTTGATTACATGTATTTATGTAGCCGAATGTCATACCTTTTCGAGATATTTGCTCCTGTTAGCACTCAGCTTATGACAGGAATAAAAAAAAGACAATAAAAAATAGTAATATTAATGGTTACGCTTTTATGAAACGGTTTTGGTTAGTAAGAAAGAAATGTGCAAAACATAGACGTGTAAGGAATATAGAAGACTTGAAGAAAGAAGCAATTTGGAATTAAAGATAATTAAAGACTAAAATTAGAAAAGAAGAAAAGCGTGTGATCAGATGTAGCCATGTCTGCGAAGATCGCGATAAGTAAAATGACATATAGGTATTGCAAATACAATTACGATAATGGACAGGATTAGGTATCTTAATGTATAAATTAATTTATAACAAAGATGAGCGCATAGCCAGACCTGTTGCAATAAAAAAATGTTAAATATTAATCGTTATTTGTTGTGTGTGAACATTAGTTTGTTAACAAACTATATTAATATGCAAAATATACATATATTATGACAAGTGCTGCTTGTATGTAACATATAAAAACAGATATAAATTTTATGTGTGTGATTTTAGTGAACATTTAAATATTTTAGGAACATTTTATGCTACTAATTTTAACATATTTTTCATGATTAATATTTTAGATCATGACCAAGTACATTAAAAATGAGTACATTAATAAACGTTTAATAAACTAATAAGGGAATAAAAAAATCTCTACCTTTCTCAAATATCGTTTTTCATTAGTACACTGTGAACATATAATCTTTATCAGAAAGGTGTTATATGTATCCATACGATAAAATTCAAAACGGATACACAGAGAAAATAAGGAATCTTAATTTTTAAGAAGATACTTGTACTTACATTTTCCCATATCTTACTGGCTAAGTCATCTATTTGTGTCCCAATTTCTCTAAATTCTCCACTATACCTAAATATCCAAACAAAAATGATATTCAGAAATTCTGATTGTAGGATAATAGGAAATTGAAACAAATACAATATTTTAATACCTTATATATGCCCATAAGACAAGTGTGAGAAGGCCAACACCCATAATAAGATTACATACATTCGCTATTGTGTACAGACCAACAAGACCAAATATTCCGGATAAAATATACATAGTAACGGCAATTGCGAAAAACACTGCTGGCGTCCGTGCTGCTTTAAAAATATTTTTGCTCTCATTATGCGCTTTAAATTGCAAGAAAGCGTCATCCATGTCCTATATTGCAAAAGAAAAATAATTTATAATGAAGTAAATATTCAATAAAAAAAAATAGAAAAACTACAGTAGTTAATTAAATGTGCATTTTTACCTTAATTAATTTTTCCATATATATTTGACTGAATTCTTCTCCGCCCATCTTTCGTTTATTCTGGAATTGACGAAGAGCTGTGTCCATACAATGTTGATGTTCAGATTCTAAGTGAGCGGTTGCTAAAAACGGTTTCGCTCCACCGCACACGGTCTCCATCATCTGAAGGTACAAATCCTTAGCTTCTGCTACAGCGGTTAAGTTATTAGCTTCCGCTGTGGCCTGTAAATGCAAAACGCAATTACTGCAGTTTAAATGATTACTCGTTCCAGTTGAATAAAACAAAAGATCGACTTATAAACAAAAACCGCAAATTGTAGAAGCACACCGTTAAATTATACGTACCACAAGCATACTTTTCGGTTCGGGAAGTTCATCTCCCTTATAAAGATTGATATAACTTTTGAAATATTCCAACAAATCTTTCGCTTTCACGACCTGGCCGTTGATCTTTTTGGTCACTAGATTTTCCGGCGCCAGTATCATTGGTATAAGCACTTTTAACTGTTTCTTAAACTCGGTCTGTATCTCAGATAATCTACCATCGAATTTCGGATTCGTCGCGATCTCTAAACCGGGATGTGGCATGAGGAAACATGATATATCCGAAAAACAAGACTTGATATGCTTTCGCAAGCTTTGCAATTCCGCATGCTGCCTGTCGGAAATCTCCAGTCTTTTGTCGAGCAATTTCTTTCCACCATTTGCGCCGTAATCGGCCTCATACGGATAAACCCAGTCTCTGACTAAGAACTGTAGTCTCTGGAAAGGTGTACTATCAGAGCTCTCTAGCGCCAATCTGCCATACTCGGTGAACAGTTGTAGATGCTGAAGATCGTCTTCCTGAATATTTTGCGACAGGTTGTATATTTGCACGGAGGATAGCATTGTACTCAATGCGAACACTGTCGCGCAATCCCGCACCGTTGACTGACTGTCGAAAGCGCCTTGAGTGTCCATAAGAATCACGGCGATCTCTTCACCATTCGCCAAGGTAGCGGGATAAACCTTCGACCACATCAATATTCCTGTAGTATCCCTCTCGGAACCACCTCGCCATGAAAAACCACTTAATGGCTCGTCTTCGGCGCCCAACCAGGAATCGGTATTATTTTGTAATGTATACTATTGATCGAAGTGATGCATATGGTCATATTTATCCAATAATATTTTGTGTCGATTGATGAAAAGTATACATGAAATAATACAAATTTAATAAGTATCTATGTATATGTAATTCTTTTTTAATTTAGACATCGACAATTAAAGTAACAGTCAATCAAGCTTGAATATCACCTACCTTGTTGTTCATGTAACGAAGAAAAAAGTCAAGAAGGAAACTTTTGCCTTTCCTGAAGGCACCAGCAACAGATACTACAACCACACTTCTATCTTTTACGTCGTCATGTAGGAGAATTTCTGACAATGCAGCTTCATCTAATTCAAAGGTATGATCTGGATGGGCAAGTACTACTTGAACAGGCTGCCCACCATCCACGTCTTGGATCTGTCCGTTTTTCAGGGAGAGCCTTTCTATCCGATCGAGATTTCCTAGATAATCTGCAAAAGAAAACTAGACTAAAAATCTGTTACAGACAATGGATAATAATAAATAATAATAAATATTGAAGAATTGAAAGATTCAAGAAAAAAATATATTTCATTATTTTATCTTTATCAGTAATAACGGAGCATCTAAAAAATAAATTGTTTCTTTTTAAGTTATAAAATTTAAACAGTATCATATCGATACTTCGTTGCCCAAAAAAAGTATAAGGAACAAAGATACAGCGAAAAATGTATACAAAGTAATGTTTTATTATGTTTTAATACCAGTCAAGTACAGAAGTGGATTTCAGGTGTAATTTATTGCATATGGCATGAAAATAAGTCTAAGAATAAAACCGCCGCCGGTTATGTATCTTGACCTATGACATGTGCCTGAAATTAACTGTAAGACTGACTGAGAATTTAAATCACTAATGGAAACGGCAGGCTAACTGAGTAGAAAATCAAATGTAAACCGCAGAAAGACTGTATTGTTAAATATTTCATCGGCATTTCATAAAAAAATTATACAATTATTCGCAATTAATGTCTTTTTCAAATCTAAAAAGTCTAAGATAAAAGTTATCCGTTGTAGACTTAACTTTTAGTTATCACACTTTAGTCACGGTCACACTATTACCACACTAGTGCGAATTTGGCTTTACTATTTTTCATCATATGTAATTTTGAAACGAAAAAAGCAAAAGTAGTTCAATTATATAGTTTTTTAAAGTAAAATTTTCCTGGGAACCCATTGGTAATAATAAAATTAACCAGAAACAATATTTTATTGCAAGAAATTGTTAATTAAGAAAGTAATAAATTGAAAAGTGAACTTTTTTCAAAAATTGCTGATGCGAAGTTGCACTAGTGTGGTAACTGAGGGTTCATTATATTATATATATGTTATGATCTAATAAATAAATAATATTATCATGTATTATCTATGTAATAAAATAAAGATTTTTAAATCTTGTTAATGTATTATTTTTTTAATTTAAGTGCAATAGATTTCTCTTTAAAGTGCTGTTTTCTAGTAAACGTGGAAAAAGTTGAGTTCTCCATTAAAAGAAGTGATACGAGGAATACCGTTATGATACAAAGATAGAATACCAAGCTTTCAACTAAACTAGATGAAGCGAAACAAGAAATGCTTGTTCTCAAAATTACTACTGTGTAGTATAATAAGCTAACTGTTGGAATAACTGTCGTTATTCGTGTCATGAGATCAGTAATATTTACACGATAAAACATTCTGGGAAATTATAAGAAACCTCCATTCTACTACTTACGTTTTTTTTGCTGAATAATAGATTGATGTTTATCAGAATGTATAAAAAATTGTGTTTTAAATTGCTATTTATATATTTCAAATAATCTTTATTGTCCAATTACTTTTATTATTCTTTTGACTTTTGCGCATTTAAAAAATAATTTCAAGTTTTTCTTAATAATAAATTTCTTACAATTATACCTGTCACAATATTTAATTTTCAAATAATAAAGCGTTAGGCTTGTACGAAGAAATTGATTTCATCATATCTTCACACACAATTTTTATTAACGATATCAAAAGATATTATGAGAAACTAAAGTTTGATAATCAATGATAATCAGTAATTGGATAATTAACAAGAATCTATAGAAGCACGTTATTTACATTTTTTGTCATATTTTTCTGATTATTTTGAAATACGATAAAATTTTCATTGGTATACGGTGATGAGCAACAAGTTCGCGAAATGATAGATAGGAATAATTAATAAAATATAATAATAATATAATTTAAATAAAGTTGCATATTTTTTTAGACATTTCCAACTTTGACAATACATTGATAATATCGTGTTATATGACAGTCGACGTTTTCAGTGACATCGCATGATATGCTTCGTCATACTAAAGGCAACACATCACACTCGATTTATGCACGATATCTTCAATATTCGTTTCATTCGTTACTTCTTTTATATCCGATGACTTTACGTTTTTATCGATCTTGCTTACGCAATAATAACTTCTCAGTTAAGAATGCTGCAAGATTTCAAACAAATTATAAAAATACTAAAGAATGTTCGATCGCATTTACGTCAGCACTGCTGCCAAATTATTTCAGGAGTTCTGAGATATTTATATAAGTATTGTATTTATTATCGTTGATTTCACGTTAAAAGATGCGCGAACCGTATGTGATATCTACTAATATTCATATTAAATTACGAATATTTTAGTAAGATCAAGATACATTTTTAATTGCAAATAAGATTGCGTTCAGATCGAGACCGACACAGTCTTATATTGTTTACAATAAAACATCGTTTCTTTCAACAACCTGCGATTATGTATTGTGTGAACGAACAATCAATTGTACTCGTGTGGATGCCAATTCTATGATATATTTTCCTTCTTTCTACGTTTCTACTTGCACAACAGATTTTTACGTCATTGTTATTTATGTATAGTCTACGCATCGTCTAATCTCCATGAATTCGCCTTTCACAATCATAAAAATTATTACTGCGTTACAGCAGTAAATACAAGGTCATGGATTTCCTGTCTGGAAATGGCAAAAAAAGGGAACAGACCAATTAAATAAAATGACAGAAAGGATTGAATAAAAAATAACAGAGAAATAACGCTGTTAGGAACATGATAATATTCAAAACATTTTACGGATTATTTTAGTTTAATTTTATTTATCATACGCAAATATCTTTTCCGTATAATTTACTGCAGGTTAAAATGTTGGGTTTTAATTTGAGAATACGTGAATAAATCAAACTAATAAACATCTAAAATTCCTCATGTAAACACATCGAAGTAACTTTCTCAATAAAAAAGAAATGTAAAAATAACACGTCATTATTAAAATGTGTTCAATGGAGTTATCGTTAATAATTAATCTTAATAACAGACAATAGTATAAAGAAATTAAATTTAATGAAATACTTGTATCACATTGATCGTTTATATGTAAAGTACAGCACTTTGCGATTTTCAGACTTCTCGTGATTTAATAATATTGCATCCTTTCCTTCGAATCCTGAAATACATGCTACCGAGATATTACAAGGACTCACGTGAATTTAAAAGAACAAGACGGCTTTTGCCGCGAATGATTTGAAAAAGTTATAAATTCTAGGTAAAAAACTCGAACCTCTCGCAAGAATCCCAAGAAGAACTCGAGTAGTGCCTAGAAAGCTACTGATAGAACTTCATGCAGAAATTTTATTCCGATCCAGCGAGACTATCTAACGAGTCAACAAGTCGCTTTTGTTGGTTTTCTTTCGTGCACAAAAGAAAAGACTTTTATTTACTAGAAAAAAAGGACTCTTGTATGCGCGTAAAAATCGGTCATGGTTTCGAAATTCATACGAAATCGTTACATTTTTAGGTTTTTAGCGATACATGGCGACTGTGATCAGTGATGCGATTTACGAACAAGAAAAGGTGGAGAGACGAGTTAACGGACAAACGATTTTAAGAGAGCAGTCGAACAAAACTTGTCTTGTAATCCATTTCTTGTAATAATTATAAACTTCAATCTCGATTTAATTTATTATATTCTTTATCTTTTTTTAATTCTTAGAACTAAAAAGAGACAAAGAGTTATCGAATCGAAATTAAAATTAAACTAAATTGATAGAAATAAACATTAGTCAACTCACCCATATTTTCGGTTGTTTTATGCTGTTGTCGTGGTACACGGTTCACGTTCTCGTCGAGGGTCGTCATCGGGGCCTTCTCGGCTGGAAATAAATTTTTAATATGTTTAGATCATTGTTTTAATCATTATCATGTTTGTGCTTTGTGTAAAATCCACTTTCAACTACTAACCCTTCGTCTACAATTTGAGTCTTTTTTGGCACATACAAGCAAGATTTCACTCATAAATTTCTCTAAACTAAAGGAAATTAGAGTCCGATTCCCCTGTTAAAATATTTTGTTAGTAATAAAGTATTATGTAATAGACGTTGAAAAAAGTAATTTCGAGTTTTCCCGCATTTTTTGAAAGCCTAGAATAGTAAAAAAAAAACTTGAGATGGATAAAAAAAGACTCAGATTGCAAACGAAGGGAATCAAAATTTAATTACTGAGAGTTAAAAACATAATTAAAATCAGAAGGTGAATCTTGATTACATAGATTTAAAATCAATAATGATTCACTGATATGTTCTTATCTAGGCTCTTAATAAATTTGTAAACATGAAGAAAACATAAATGTGTCTATTGTAAATAAATGCAGTTGTTAAAACCAATGTGTTTCGCGAAGATAACTGGAAAGAAAGCAAAATAAAAATTTATTTTATTGAATTTTTTAATGAGATTTTTAAATTTTCCTCAAATTGAATATTATCTATATGAAAAATTAATTTTAAGAATAAAATACTAAAAGAAAACAAATCCAACGAAAAATCGGGAAACACTAATTCAAATAGTTTCATGGATCAAGCACCGAGTCAGTCGATAAGATAATTGTGTCAAAAAATCATCTGACAAACTAACTCGGCTTCTGCTGTGATTCCACAAATACGCTACGTTGTGCGCCATTCCCGAAATTGGAATTGTGAGCCGTCGTCACATTTGCGGTCTGCTGCATCCTCGTTCTAGGCGGCCTCGCCGGTTCCTTCGGTACATCCGACCTTTCCGACGGCCTTGACCCAGAAGGGTGGTCGTTGTGCCGCTTCCGTCTCGGCGTTACGAATTTTCTCTCGGCCATATCATCGACTTTCACATTCGTCACCGAATCGACACGACGCTCAACAAAATCGAAACGAACGCGAATTAAATATATATCAGGGAAAAACACTCGAACGCGACGCGAAGATCCACTGTGCACACACGATACTTGGGTACTAAGTCCGCGAGGAGAGCCAGACTAGAAATATCCCGTTCGCTGATGGTCGGTATTCTTGAGGCCGTGCCGTGACGGCGAACCTCGCGAGTTGGCAGCATCCCACGAGTGACGATGCCACACCGACAGAAATCAACTGACACAATCGCAAAAACGTAGTGGGGCACCACATACATAGGCGGCAAGAGAATTTTCTTCAAATTAATGCATATGTGTGCGAAGTTTAACTAAACAGTTTCTCGCGTCACTTGGAGAACTCTCAAGTTGTATGCTCGAAAAATACTTGGTAAATAAATATTTTATTCATACCATTAATGTGAATTTATTTTCAGTCAGTGACAAAAAGAAAGAGTCTCTCACATTATATATAGCTAAAGATTCTAACATTTTTTTAAATTCTGACATTTTTTTAATTATTTTAAAAAACTGCATTCTTAATCATAGAGTACTCTTTTTGTTACTTATACTTGCAACATCTCATATTATTTTTGTACAAATTAATCTTTTTTATTGCAATAAATGTACAGATCTAATTAAATGATACTAAATTTTTGTAATTACGATTCTAAAGTTTTCCAAGATACAAATGATGCACTGATGCAGTTTCCTGGTGACGACGCCGATGGAAATATACAGTCGCTTCATTTTTATGTTGGAAGTGGGGATAGAAGCTGGTATGAAAAATGCAAGACGGTATAAGATAAAATGACGATGTTATCGACGTCTTTGCGTTAAGATGCCGTCTAGTTTTGTTCGTCATATGGATAAGAGTGGCGATTGGTCGGAGAAAACGAGTGCAATTAGTCATAAAGGAAAATAAAATGGCTGTGATCAAACATCTGTTCAAAAGATAACGTCAAAAGATAACGTTTTATAATTTTAAAGTACCTAATATTGTCGAGTATTGATCATCGTGAAACAATTATGTAATGTGAAAAAATATTATAACATGTTTGATAAATTTTATTTTATGTGCCATAGCATGATTATACAAGTCTATCAAAAGAGTAAACAAAACAAGGTAAAATTTATCCTAAAAGAAAATGTAATATAAAAAATATACTTTTATTATGTATCCAGCATTAGCAAATAATATTGCTGTGAATGAAAGATCAGAAGTTTAATCAGGTAAATGAAAATAATATATGTTTTGTATAAACAAGAATATAAGGAAAATTTAATAAAAATTATGTATTAATGATTGTAAAATGAGCAAGTTTAAAAGCTTCTAAGTGCAGCATAATAACAATAACTTAATTGAACACTGCCAGCGGCAATAAAATTATCATTGAAACTGATTACAAAGAAGCAATTGCTGACGTTATTTCTATAATATATCTTTCAGAAAAACATTTTGCTATAATACGTGTTTATTATATTATTTCTACTAATAGAGCAGCAACAAGGATCAAGGTTACTTAGGTAGATGTGGAAAATAATAATTACACCGAGAAAAATGGTCTGGTTGGATTAAATAGTAATTCTGGTGAAAAATAAATAACAAATTAGGATTTTTTGGTTAAGACTATTAGAATTCTAGTTGAGATAACTAAGAATTCTAATTAATATAATTATTCTGATAAAAATACGAATTCTAGTAGATTTTACTAAAAATATTATATCAACAAGAATTTCGGTTATCTCAACTAAAATTCTAATAAATTTAATCAGAAATTTCTGATTCGTCTATTTTCAACCAGAAATTTTTTTCATTGCAATAATAATTACATAAAAATTAACATAATTAAGCATATTTTTCAATTACATATATATAATTTGTTATTCGTATCTATATTAAAATGAGTTTTGACAACATAGCTGTGTGCAAAACGATTCATAATAATCGTTTCTAATTGCAACGTTTCACGAAAAAATTATAACGAGATGTAAAAGTAGATTGAAAATAGCAGAAAATAATTAATATAAATTATTTAAAAAAAAACTTAATACAATAAAATAATGTAAAAAAGTTTTCATCTTATTTTTAATCAATTTAGACTTTTACACAGAAAATTACACAGAATTAATACAACTTTCGGGCGAAGAATAATTAGAATAATCAATTGATAAAATAATTAAACAAGACTAGAAAATCTGTAATTAGTGACGTAATATAAAAACGCATTGTGCACGTTGATTAATATTATTTTTTGTGTATCATGCATGTACCTTGGACTTTCTTGACCTTTGGATCGTTTTACAGACAGCTTTTTGCATAGATTCATGACGTACGTGGCTAGTATCATTGCACGAACTGTAGAAGAAATAACGAGCTTAAGTTTAATTTAGAAACGGACACGAATAATTTCGTACACTCGCATTTGAGTACGCCAACTGGGAAGAAGTTCGCGCCATATGTCGCAAATATTGGCACTGCATCCTTGCGAAACTTTTAAGCGATGCCTCATAAATGTTATAAGTAGAAATTATGAAGAACGTAATAGATGGATAATATAATACCGTCGCGATTTGAATATTCATTAAAACTATGCTCAAATATTTACATATTATCTTATCTTAAAAAAATATCTTACATACATTATAATGTATTACATACGTTATGAAACATTACAATGGCAACTTTGAATACGTCGTTCATATTAAAAGGATTGAATAAAAATAAAGTCTTCCACTGTATTTTGCAATGATTTTAGATTTCCCAAGAATATATAAGACATAAATATTTTTAAAATAATTAATAACAAAATATTATTTATTTTATAATATTTAAAGAGAAAGAGATAAAGCTTATACGGATACTCAGATTTATTTCCGGAAAGGATAAGTTTAGTTTTAAGCTCATATACGTCGGATAGTTTCCTCTGCCTTCAAGAATACTTCTCGACATTACGCGTTGCTTTTCTACTTTGAGCGATTGTTAAACCGCACTGCCGATTTACGAGCTAGGTAACGTTGTCGAAGCAAACATAATCAAAGTCAGTGGCTACCATGAGAATTTTACCAATGAGGATTTTAGATCGATACTCGATTTGCACGGGTGGTAAACCATGAAGTTAACGATCGCAATGAGTGTTACACGTGGAATTACGACGTGCTTTCCTAAGATATTTATTTTATGAAGGTATATCCTCCCCACTAGAGCATTTACACTGTGCGGAGGCAAATGTTTTACGACAAATGAGGGTTTACCGTGAGAAGGAAAAGCCGAATCGGCGAACGAAAAAGAAATAAAAAATCGCCTCCTCTCCCTCCCACCCGTATAAACGAACGAGAGTGAGTTAGGATTATTGTGACTCCTTCAGACATCTCGGTTATCGTTAATCCCGCACGCGATACTATCCGGTACGGAGTTTATTTATATTTCTATCTCCGCATATATGCCAAGCGTAACCGCAACTCCCGAAGTTTATATGCAAAACCGTATGCAGTTTGGTTATGAGCTCTACAACGGTCTGAAAGGTTTCCATCCGCTCGATTTTGCGAGTTACGGCCGGTAAATTCTTAAATCTTCTCATGGCTAACGTTACGCTGAATGAAATAAGATATCTTTCTATCGAAACGTTATTCCATCGTATTACGTCATCGAATGTGTTAATTTTTAATCAATAAAAATCTAGTAATTAAAATTTAATAGCTCAAATTTATCAGAAAAACTTTAATGATTAAAACGATCTGAGATAATATAATTTCTCATCGTTGATTTGGTTACTTTGATGCAATTTGTAAGAAGCGAATTACCTTTTAACGATTTTACAAGAAAATAAAATCGCGATCGAACGTATCCCAGGTGGTAATTATGGAAGACACATTATTAATATATTGTAATACGAGTACACTTTGCGACGATAGGTTTTATTGCAATTTCCAGGTAACTGACTCGCATCATATACGTATAGAGTACCTTGTATAGAAATTCAATATCATTGAACTTTCCTCTTCTAAAGGCCATACTTTATAAAATTACCGGGATAAGTTGGCCCGTGCACGTTCTCTCTCACGTCGTGCGAGAAAAAAAAAAAATAAAAAAAGTATGCCTCGTCATGCCATATGCAATTGCACTTACGCTCATTTTTATTACGAACCCCGACTAACTTGATTGCATCGTTGCGTAGGTTATGAGAGAAAATGGCAGAGAGAAATACGCGCGGATGTCTAAAAAATGCCATGATCGCGTTTTAGAGAGCCCCGAGATTGCGGTGTCGGTTATGCTTACAAACGCGAGGTTCACTCTTTTATTTTACGATCTCAATGCAGCGCGTCGCCATTCAGAACTTTGAATACAAAACGTCATCGCGTATGAGGACATAAAAATTCTTTATAGACTACACGGACATGCAAACCATCTTGTTAAATCCTTAAACTTGATCCCTTGCGAAAAGCTTTCTTTCTTTCTGCTATGGAAAGAACGATTTTATTGAAGTATCTAAAAACTTAGGTACTCACAAAAAAAAATAATTTTATTGCTAAGAGAAGTAATTACTCAATTTACTTTTTTTTCTATTAAGTTACAGTCATCTTTAACAAAGAATATTTTCTTGATAATAATCTTCAAATATTTTATTACAAATTAAAAAAAAAATCATTAATAATTACTCGAAACAAGAATTAATTTTCTTTTAATGAATATTATATAAATGAGAAAGAGAGAGAGAGACAGAGATCAAAGAAGCAACTTTATACAATAAGCACATCAAATTTATTTTAATTTAATAATCTTGAACCGACTGAAGTATTAAACTTGCTAGAATTGAAAATAGATTTGATGTGGTAAACTAACGATAGATTTGCGAATACATAAACTTTTGAAATACTCGAAACAAGTAACTATTATTTTCATATAGTACGTATTTTTCTGTGTGTAGATGTAGATCTGAGAGTAATTTTGTTGGATCATTAAAATAATTACGTCGGAAACACAAGCATGATAAACAATGCTGCAAAAAGT